CATGCTTTATTGCAACAGGAACGGTTGAGGCCAGCCACAATCCCTTCTACAATGAGTGGGGATATTATGCACCGTTACCGTTTGGGATCTCTGCGCGGCTGCTTGCCTGGAACTGCTCCCCTTCTCAAGAAAGAGTCCGGCACCCGTAGGTGCACCCTTGTGTGATTGGCCATGTCTGTGTTTAGTTGGGCCAGCTTCCAAGGCAAAAGCAGCGTGACTTGAGCTCTGCTTCCTGACTCGGATGTAGGATTCTTTCAAGCGCAGGGTAAGGCAGCTTGCAGAAGTAAGGTGCTGGCAAGCCTGATGAAAGCATAACAGTTACTGTTTGTTCCGCGAGCTGGCTGGTCTGAAGGTGTGGCGCTCGTATTGCTGTAGCGCAGGCTGTGGCCGCTGAGATGAACTCCAGCGCAGTTCATGTCACGACGGCCGCCACTGATAGATTTCAGCAACTGCCTTCCCACTGTCTTTGGACCTGAGCGCTTTGCACCTGCGCACCTGGCAGTCCTACTGGCTTAGCTGCTTGATTGGGACCTTCGACCTGGGCACCTTGCACCTGTGCACCTGACCTGGGAGTCCTGCCAGCCTGGCTGCTGGATTGAGACCTTGGACCTGGGCATCTTGCACATGTGTACCTGGGAGTCCTGCCAGCCTGGCTGCTGGATTGGGACCTTGGGCCTGGGCAGCTGCACTGTACCCCCAAACCCTAAACCCAAAACCCAAAACCCAAAACCCCAAAACCAAAACCTCAAACCCAAAAACCCCAAAAAAACCCAAGAACCCAGAAACCCCAAAACCTACCAAAAAGCTCACAAAGAAGCTTTCTTTGATTCAGCAATCTGCGGCAAGAGGTTATCGAGCGCTGACAGTGTGGGGTGGGGGGGAGGGGGGGGGGGGGGGGGGGGGGAGGGGGGAGGGGGGGAGGGGGGAGGGGGGGGGGGAAGGGGGGGGGAGGGGGGGGGGGGGGGGGGGGGGGGGGGGGGGGGGGGGGGCGGCAGCTGTGCTGCAATGCTTGTCGCAGTGCTGGCCTGTTGCGACTAGTGATGCTCAGAGGATCACTGCATCGTCACTTGATGCTTCAGGGAATGTCAAAAAGAAGATGTATGAACCATGACGGACTTGTCTTTGATCTGAGTCCGTTGCCTTCAGTGATCGCCGGTGGTCGTCCGTCGACTGCCACTCCGATGTCGGCGTTGACCTCCAAATTGCGCGGTAATGTCCGCTGTGCGGGGTAGAGCCAATGTGAAATACGCAGGACTGCACGTATGCCCGTTCCATGCGTATGGAGCCCTCATGCAGTACAGGAACCCGGAGTTCTTGGCTGTAGGACGTGATGGGGGCGTGGTTTTTGCCCGAGCCTGTGAATCTGGCCACTGTGAAAATAGCGTGTTTCTGCTGCCCTAGCAGTGTGGTGTTTGGGGGTACCGAAGCCCATTCGTCGATTAGGAACTGCAGTGGCTTGCTTTCTGGGTGTTGCATGAGCATGACAAGGGGTCCTCCTTCCACCGCCAATCTTCCTGTGGTTAGATCAACGGTTGCCCAACGTCGCGTCAGGGGTAGATCGGAAGCAGCCGTCAAAAAGCCTTGCAGGAATTCTGCCGAGTCTTGCTGCGTGCCATCAAATCTCCATCTTGGTAGCAGGCTCCTAAGCGGGAAGGAGTTGATGAGGTTAAGGGGGGGGGCAGCACTAGACTGTGCTAGGAAGAGATGAGGCTCATTAGAGCTTGCAGTGACCGCAGTGAAGGGTCTAAGATGGTAGTGGCCAGCAGAGCCTGTATGGCTGCATTGACATAGCAGTAGTTAGAGGTGTTCTTGAATGCAAGGGTTGCCAGAAGAGAGGAAGGGGAGAGACAAAAGACATGAGAAGGATCGCTCTGAATCGCTTGCTGCATGACAGCTGGACCACTAGAGCCGAGCGAGGTAGGAGAAGACAGAGGAGGAAAGAGAGAGGAAGCTGGGGGAGCTGAGTCTTGGCAGTTATTGCTCTCTGCAGTTATTACTTTTGGGGAGGACTTTGTAACGGCCTTGGGTAAAGACTTAGATTTGGCCTCTGGCGGCCGTTGGGGACTGGCTGCTTTGAAGAATGATTGCAGTGGACCAGCGGTGGTCCTGGTGATCTGCAACACGGAATCGCCTAGCAGGATCTGAAACAGAACTCCGCACTGCGCCGGATGCTTACGCCGATCAGTGACCGTCTTACTGCAGAAGGGGCAAGGTCTGCCTTTGAGGATCTCCGTTCCGAGCTTTTGACATTGTGTTATAGTGCTATCTTGCAGGGCATCCCAAATTCTGCGATGCTCCTGATGCAAGTGCGACTTGACCTTGGTATGATCAAGCGTCCAGAAACCACAGAGCACGCAATGATCCACAACGCGCTTAGAAGCCGGCTGCCGGGCTAGCTGCGTGACGGTATGCGTGCCAGCTGTGCTAGTTAGGTGTTCTCGTGACCATGGATGCACTGGTTCGGTCTGACCTGCCGCTGCACTCTCGTCATGGCGCTGAGCATCTATTCTTCTTAGGGCTGCCGGCTCTCTGCAGGCGCCGGACAGAAGGTGGTCCTTCAATCCTTTCCAGAGAGCGAAGTGTTTGTGACACGCTGCACAAGTAGGTAGGCCGTCCTTCGAATGCTCTGGCAGAAAGTCGGGTGGGATATAACGATCCAACTTATCCCTGTGCATTTTGGCCTCGTGTATGTGTAGCCCTTGTGCAGTGGTAGTCTGAAAAGAGCAGTGTCTGCAGCAATGTCTAGGCTCTTCCTCTTCTTGGGTTACTGCTATCAAGGCCTCATACTCTGCAAGAACCTCTTGCGCGTACTGAAGAGCGTTGGGGAGCAGCGCAGCATCCTGATGGCCGTGTGGATGCTGTGTATCTCTCGGAGCCTCATGCAATGCAGCAGGCCTTGTTTGGGTTTCCTGTCTGGTTCTGAGCGATCTGACTCTGTTGCTCTGGCGCTCCAGCAGCAGCTGGACGGGATCCTTGATGCCGTAGGCTGCATACAGGTGATGCGTCGATAAGCCCGTAAGATGGACGGGTTTGTTGAGGACCGCCCTGATTTTTCTGGCGTGCCACCTTCGCAGTTGTTGCGCTGTCTCCGTTGTGAGCCCTATGTCCACTAGACCCGCCGAGACCGTCGCCCAGACTGTTGTGTGCCAAATCTTCAGTCTGCTTTTCGGACCTGAGAGTCTTCGGTTGTGCACATATCGTCGGACTTGTTGCAGCTTGGCATTGCCCTCCTGCAATCTAAAATCCAACGTCGCCTTTTCCTGGTTGCCATAGGAAACGTACACTCCAAGGTACTTAAAGGATGTGGACTGCGGGAATGATTCCTGGGCTTTTGTGCTCCCAATGCGCCATTTGCGGTGTTGTACTCCCTGGGCGTCTAGGCTTGTGTGACTGAAAAGTTTGTGTGCACGGGCTGAGGCAGTGCCTGTTAGCTTAACCATGAAGTGACACTTGTCAGCGTTCACTTTAAAGCCATATTTTCTGACAATGCGGAGAAGATCAGCTATCATGTTGTGTGCTTGCAGCAAATCTCTCCAGCTGGTGACAGTGTGATGAACAGTTAAGTCATCTGCGTAGCCCGTCAAGCTATGCAGCACGCGATCCCAGCCTACGACCTCTGCGAGTTCTCGGAATAGCTTTCCTGTCAGCAAGGAGAACAGGGTTGGAGCTAGTTTACACCCTTGCTTAATGCCTGTTGTGGACTCAACAGAGCACGAGGTCTGCTGAGTGCCACTAATCCCTGGATGTCTGACGGTACCCCAGCGTCTTGAAGAGTGTCCATGAGGTCCTGGCGGCGAACCATGTCGAATGCCTGTGATAAGTCAAGCGCAAAGCAGATCCCTCCGACCAGCTCTGGTTTGCGGTGTCCAGCATGCTGGGAGTGCCTGCTAAGCCGCGATTGTGCGCACATTTGGCGTACCTCTCTGGTATGCTTGGAGACTCTGGAGAGAGCATCAGAAAGTCCTCTTTGAGGTTGGTAAGCGAACTGTGGCACCGACCTCAGGTAGCTGCAGGTATAGGGAGCCAGGAGATCTCTGCACGCCCCTGCCAGACCCTTGCCATCCGGTCTTATTATAGCTGCCCCAACCAGAACAAAAATCTTTCATCCGCAATGGTATAACTTCTGCCCGCAGGCGAGCTACAGAGAATTATCCAACATTCAATCTCGAGGGGAAACGCGTTGAACTCAACATTAAAAACATCGGATTCCCAAATCACGCAAGTAGATCTCATCACACTCCACACTCTAACACATGCGCACTTTTTCTTCGTCGGCACGCCGAGAAAATGGGGAAAGTACGTCATGCCACTTTTTAAGTGGCCTGCACCATGGCACATGTAGTGCCATCGGCCCTCTGACACAACTGATGTGTCGGCCCCGTTTATCTCCCCGGGTTGGGAGGGTGGGAAAGAAATTTCCTTGCTTTGCTGACTGCTGAGCCAAGCTTTGGAATGCAAGCGAAATTTCAATCACAAATTTAAACAATCCTGAAAACACATGTCCCAAGAATGTGTCATGCATGCATAAGCAAAATGCTGGTGAGTATTAAAATTCCAAACTTTTTGTTCTGGCCCAAAATTGCTTAAAGATACTCTCCGACAAACAATTTTGGTTTTGGTGCAACTATAAGGCAACGTCATGCAAGCATGAAGTATAGCTTATAGCTGCCCCAACCAGAACAAAATCTTTCATCCGCAATGGTATAACTTCTGCCCGCAGGCGAGCTACAGAGAATTATCCAACATTCAATCTCGAGGGGAAACGCGTTGAACTCAACATTAAAAACATCGGATTCCCAAATCACGCAAGTAGATCTCATCACACTCCACACTCTAACACATGCGCACTTTTTCTTCGTCGGCACGCCGAGAAAATGGGGAAAGTACGTCATGCCACTTTTTAAGTGGCCTGCACCATGGCACATGTAGTGCCATCGGCCCTCTGACACAACTGATGTGTCGGCCCCGTTTATCTCCCCCACTTCTCTTTGGCCGGCGCATCAAGTGCTTTCAAGAGTGCAATAGGTCATCGGACATTTGACCTCGTCGCGCAAGAAATCCCCTAGGTACCGCAGTTTCTCCCACTCACCCCGGGAGGGGGCATCGGAAGGATTGCTTTCACTGGCAACCCTGTGGAACCATGCTAGGCACGGCGCCGCCTCATCCGCAGCCTCTAGTTGCATGAGCAGCTCACGCCAGGAGGTATCGGCCGCATTCCCGTTAATACAGGAGCTGTGGACACCCGTATGGTCCACGAAGAAGAAAACCCTGTTCCCTCCTATTGCCCTGGACCACAAGACCCTGGCTAAGACCACGGCATACAGCTCAACCTGGCCTATGATGTGCTTGCGCCCCCGTGCCCACCGTTGGATCAAGGCCTCAGGAACTTTGGCACCAAAGACACGGGGCTTCGACCCCGGCGCAATGAGAACGCCTCCCACAGCCGCATGAAAGGAACTTCCACAGGGGTCGCATGCTCCATCGGTAAACACGAGGACTGGGGCAGAAGCAGGGCTCGCTGAAAGCTGACGGGGGACCCCCTTCAAAAGGCGAGCACGTAGCAAGGCAACCGCATCAAACTGGGACTGGCTTAGCTCCACACTGAATGCAGCAGCCCGCTCCAGGTTCCTCAGATCGGCAATGGCCAGACGGCCCGTGCGTCCCAACATCTGCGACTCAAGAAATTGCAATCTCCCTAAAAGGGAGGGCACCTCGCGAACCAGCACCTTCCGATCCCTCAACACACTTGCAAGTGTCTCACACATCGCCGCAGCCCGCTCCTGTTTGTTTGACACGCACACGTGCCCAAAGGACGGGTCACTTGTATCCAGGACAACTCCCAGCATCTCGCTCGCAGAGCTGAAAGGTTGCTCTTTGTCACGCGATAGCGTGAACCCAAGAAGGTCCATGACCGAATGCACTGCATTATCAGTGCCCCCACTAAGCATCGCAGGAGCCATCGTTGGGTAGTCGTCATAGTAGCATGCCGCTACTACGCCGACTTCCCAAAGGATCCGCTGCAGCAACAAGGACACTCGATTGAAGTGCATCACCGAAGCCGACGAACCGAAAGGCAAGGTGTTGCATGGAAAGGCATACACCCGGTCGTCGGTAGGGTTTTTGAGAATCAGGACTGCTTTCGGCTTCTCTCCCGGGTGAAGAGGTAGTTGTTTGTACGCTGCTCTAAGGTCATAGGTCTTCGTGAGTGGACGTAGTTTCTCGCGATCCGCCCAAACCTTGTGCAACCTGCCCTCGAGGGACGTACCGTCACTCAACACAAACTTCACCCAACCGGAACCCAAGGCACACCGGAATACCTGCAGGCAAACCCAGCAAAGCTCATCCAGTGCTTTCAGGCTAACACGCTCGAAACACCCAAAACAGGAGTTCACGCCGGATTCGGAGAAGTCGTCGATTGGGCGAAGCTTTCCCTGCATTACGCTGAAGCGGCGACAAGGCGACCATCCCTGCGGGTACACTTCTTCGAGCTGCTCTCTAGTGTAAGGACCATCAAGCCAAGCCTTTGATGTTGCATCTGCTTCTTCAAGAGTGACGTTCCACAGCTCTTGCGCATGCTCACCACAAACTTGGCCGGACACCTTGTCCCACAGAGAATCCCTCAAGATGGCCGCACCTTCCCAAAAATCTTGTTCGGAGCTAAGTGCCGGCTTCTCGTCAGGATGGAAGACCCCAGTACACGGCATATAGCCAGTGAGTTTGAACCCCACCTCCAAGTCGTGATGAAGTTGCTTGTCAGGCCAATCAAGAGATTCGGCAATGCGCTTAAGAAGGCACAGGCGCTTGCCTCCCAAGACACGCCTCACTGAAGGTTCAAGTTTTTGCTTCAGGGCACGCTCCTCGCCCTCAAGCTCAACAGCCCATTGTCTCCATAGCCTGATTTTCTCCAGTCTCCGTCGCATCACCACCACCGGGCCTTGCACAAGGAGGTCGAAGAGCACGCGAACCAGTCCGTCTGGAAGGGCCCTGGCAGTATCGAAGGGGTGATCAAGCTGCTTTGCCTCACGCACGAAAACCTCTGGAGATCGATACACACCGAAAGTGTAAAACCGACAAGAAGCTGCACCCACTTGGAGCTCATCTCCAAGCTCACCTGCGCGGGTGTCGGCACCACCCCTTTCAACTGACACACGCAGCAGTTTAGACTTGGCAGGCACCTGCAACCAAGGTTTTTCCAAGCAGTTCTTAGCATTCAGCGGGGGGGCTTCGGAGGAAGCCACTGTCACGGTATGCGCAAATTCGCCGATGACAGGCGCGAAACGGCGACCTCGGGGCTGAACCTGCCCTGCTGCACGGGCAGTGGCCAGCTCAGAAGTCTGAAGCTTGCTCGGAAGAAGTTGACGCTCGGCAGCGACGTCATCGATGCAGGCAACAAGCCGTTCACAGAGAAGTTTTGGGTAGGCGGCCTCCAAAGCGGTGGCATAATTGCCGTCCACAACCCAAGCATCATGCTTGGGGCAGCCAGGGCAGGGCCCGCTGAGGCGACCCAAAACTGGGTGGGAGGACAGGAAAGCTGTAGCCTTCTTGCGTGTAGAACCATGCAAGCATGCATCGAAGCTTACTAAGGTAAGTCTCTGCACCAAGGATTGGAAGCAGGGTAAGTGCCAAAGCCACGAGTGCAATGGATTTTCCACTGAGAAATGGACGCAAGCATGGTTGGACAGGAGCCATTGGCAAAAGGCAGCCGTCTCCCGATAGATAGCGTTGGCGCTAGCAACCCGAGCTGCCTCAACCTCGGACAGATCGGGCCGCCCCCATGGGTGTTGAAGGGACCTAAGCGGGCGCGGTCCCTTCCCAATGTCACGCGCACGGCTGGCCGTGCCGCACGGCGGTGCGATATGCACCCACACAACGTCGCGCGTCTCAACAAGACGCCTGATGAAGTCCCAGGTGCGTGACAAGCGCAAGTCCAGCTGCAGCACATGAACATAAGGTCTATGCTTACTATGGCCCCAATCTACCGGCACGACCGCGTACCCGGCCTCTTTGGCTACGCAGGACAGAAGGGCAGAGCCCGCACACAACTCGAGCACAAGGGGGCGAGAAGTCGACGGCGGCTGCAGACGAGATGAGGGCTGCACGGGCGGCGCAAGAGGAACCGAGGCCTCTGCCAAGGGCTGGGCTCCTGCCGCTGGAGCGACACCTGTCGGGGGTGGCAGTTTTGTGCTGGGACTAGCTTCTAAGGGAAACCCTAAGAGCCGCAGCTCTGCCAAAGCGGGGGGCTTAAGCTTCTCCACGAAACGCACCGTGAAACCTACCAAGACAAGGCGGCGACCCTGCCATGGGAGGACGCAATGTGCATTCTCGCTGGCCGACAAGAGCAGACACGGACCATTCCAAGGCACGGGGCCACCGATGACATCGTGGCCTTGAAACTCACGGACTTCGGAGCCCTCACCCTCAACCCAAAGACAACCTCCCTTAAAGGCGGTTAGGGGAGTGATTATATTAGGGAAGGGCGCATTCTGCAGGTCCTTATGCATGGAAGAGGGACTCTGATCAAGCACGGCAATGGAAGAGAAGACACACCCGGGGGCCGCATGTTTGAGCCAGGCCACAAACAAGGCAGTGGAAGCAGGATACTTCCCAGTCGTCGTTCGCACGCCGACGACTCCGCCATGCACAAACGCGCCTGCAGTGAAGCTGCTGCCTTCAGCAGCGCGGGGGGATGGTTCTTTTGGCAAGGCGTCGAACAGGCGCACAAGGTCTGAAGCAGTCAGCTCATGATGGCCTGCCAAAGCCCAAGCCAAGGTCTCAGCTTGATCAAGATCATGTGGTTTTGCACCCTGAAAGAGAATCGGAAAAACGGCACCCCCAGCATGAAGAGGAGGTGCCAAAACAGAACTCACGTGCTCAGCTGCATGTGAATGTACGAAGCAGTTTGCTCCACGGCTCACGCGCGGCCTCTTAGGCTCCGGCTGAACCACATGTGCTGAAGGAAAACTTGCGTCGGCCGACGAGGCCGACCCGCCGGTGCCTGGCGAGGCAGCGACGCCTGGTACAACGGGAGCGCCCGGCTCGAAAACTGCATCCTCTCCGGATGCTGTGCCTGCTGAGGCACCCTTGGGACCCTGGGTCCCTAGTCAGGCCTGTCCTGACACACCGCTGCGCAAGCTGCAATCCGTTGCAGGGTGGCTTTTGCCGCACCGCGGAACAGCGCAGACATGTAAGCCTTTCGGGCACCTGCCGCGAGTGACGGTCTCGCGACAAGTTTTGAGACCGTATCCGAAACATATGGGGTCTCCGCCGTTCGTGTGGCTCCGACAGCCTTCCAGCCCCTGGGGCATTTTCATCTGCCGAACGGCAGCCTTACCTCGCTTCCCCTTTCCACGGCCCTTCCCTCCAGGAGGGGGCGGCGGAAAGCCGTAAGGCCCATTACGCTCTTTCTCAGAGCCAGCGCCAGCAGCCTTAGGCAATGGCTGCATCAAGCTGACAACCTCCGTTGAACAGGTGGCGGCTTCGAACACCTGATCCAAAGGCCTTCCCGATACTGTGACCTGGAGGCCGGCACGTGTCTGATCAGCAAGGCACTGGAACAACTTGCGATCTGCAGCCTGCAATTGCATGAAGGTTGGTAGATTGTGAGAGGAAGGAACAACGTCCAAGCGTGCACTCAGAAGCTTCTCTACCCAACGGCTGTGATGGACAAAATCTAAGAGATTCGCCATCTCAAAAGCAATGCCTCGACGGGACAACGCAAGGTGGATGAGGAACTCACTGGACGTGTCTGCACGCCCCGGGTCAGGCTTCTCAGTCTTGAGTTTCCCCGAGCTGTCAATGGACAAGACCGACTCTCTCTTGGCACTCTTCTGTGCCTCGTGCTCTTTGCTTGTCAGACGATCCCACTCCAGGTATTGGAGGCGATTCTGCTCATAGATGGCGACACACGCATCCACCAGAGCATCTGATGGCTCCATTCGATTCCGGATGTCCAACCCCGACAACTTCTTCACGATGGCAGCGAACCTCTCGGAGCGCTCCGGCACCGAAAGCTTCCTAGGCGCTGTTTCATCGGTCCGCTCCACCAACGAGCGCATTTCACTCGTAGTGACAGCAAAGCTCTCATGGAACAACCTGCGAAAGGCTGCCTTCTGCCCCAAACTTGCCGGGCCTCCAAGTGCCGTCTCAAACGCGGCGATGAGCTCCTTGTCATCGCCCGATCCTGGCGTATAGCTTGACATGAAGGCTACCCGGGCCAGAGTAGTGATGCCAGCCCGTTTAAGGGCCGCGACATCAGCTTCTTCTAAGCCTACCTTCACACATCTCGCAGAGAACACTGGACCACTCTCCGAGTACGCAGCCATCTTTGACGGCCACCCAAACTAGGCTTGAGACCTGGCACCTGCTCAGAGCTGGTAAAGCATCTGTGTTTGCCATGACATGTAGGCAACTCTCAAGAGAGAACTCTCACATGGACGTAGAGCACGAACATCACATTCATGGACATAGAGCACATGCAAAAAGGAGGGGGCGCAGCAAGTGAGCAAAGCGTGGGCCTCGCGCACACCCTTTATGCTCTATGCACAAGTGAAATCTCACATCAAGCCACATATGCTCTAAAGCATTGCTTACACCTAGGATGCAAAACTGCAGGTCGCTCATGGCATCGCCCATACTGTACAGACAACGCCCTTCCACATATCAAATGTGCTCCTGCTTCATCAGCGGTTAGGTGGATGACTCTCGACTGGCGGTGCCTGAAGTACGTTGCATCACCTGGCAGCCGCCGCTCATCCACTCTGCCCGGCCACCTCTCCATAGTCCTGGCGACGGCCTGCTCATCTTCTGAGTGGTCACGTTCCTCTTCGTCGACCGAGGAGCCCGAAGACGACGCCATATCATCCTCGGAGTGAGGTGGATCCTCCTCATCGGACCTCTCACATTCCTCTGCCAGCTGTTGCCCTCTTGGGTTGTCAGGCATGAACTTCCCAGAGCGGACCTCACGCAGCATCGACGCCATGGCCCTGAGGGGGGCCGACTGAGCATCGACTTCATAGATGAGCTCCGTGCCCACACCGGCAGACTTCGAAGTATGATAGCCTAAGATGGCCCTTTGGTCCCTTGGCAGACCGCGTTTGCTGGCCCATGAGAGGATTGTTCTTTTGCACGAATGCGTACCCACATTGTTCAAGTACTCATCGGGGCCCACTCCCTGGGCAAGCAGGCTCCTGAGCCACACACAAGCCTGGTCGCACGGCAGAGGCACATTCCTCCAGGTCCCGTTGGAACCCGGACACGGCAGGAGGGGCGAATCCTCGTGGATACGAATCCCACATTCTTCCATGACATCGATCCAAGCATCGGCCCACCTGAGACCCGACAGACCCAAAGCACAAGCTGCCATCGGCAAGAACCTAACCTTCCTCTCGAGGGAGAAGCTGGTCTTGCTCCTCGAAACGTGGACCTCGAGATATGCTGAGATCAGGCGCACAAAAAGGAGCTTGCACACACGCTGGGCATCGGAGAACCTGGCTCTCGCGTGCACTAGGAAAAGGAAAAAGCCCGCTGCCATCCTATCTTGCAGGGACCTCCCTTCAAGACCACAGCAAATTCTCTCAAGCAGCGCAACATGTTCGACTTTCAAGGGGTTTCGTTGAAGGAGCTTCCTCTTCTGCAAGAAAAGCCGAGCTGCCAGGCCCCGAACACGACCCGACTCCAAAATCTCATCAACACCCTTCAAGCCCACAACATACTTTGCGAAGGCAAAAGCGGAGAGAACACTCTTCAAGGAAGTCGGTGCAGCTTTGTCCTTCACATCATCGAAGTAAGCATACACAAGAGGCTCAGCGGCAGGAAAAACTATCGCAGTCTTGCCCGAAGCCCAGGCAACATACCTCATAAGAGCATTCGCACGCGAGTGCAAAGTAGACGTTGCTTTCACTGCCAAGGCATCTGCCACGCTGTTAAGAAAAGGACCAGTACCCAACCCTGCTGCCTTCGAAGCATGGAAATCACGTGCAAGTCCAAAGGCAAGGGGCTCAACAAGAATGATGCGCTGCCACTTCGCAACAGCAAGGCTGCGTTCCTCACTCTGGAGATCAATCCAAGCCTTGGGGTTCGAGTCGTACTTGCTGAAACGAGCCATCTTTTCAGCAATCTTAACAAGTCCAGAAGACTTAGAAAAAGGCTCGGAACCCTCAGCTGATTCAGGCTTCTCAAGTTCACACAAAGGCAAGGGACCTCTAGGAACCAGCTTTCTCTTTGCCGGCTGACTCACAAGGCCAATCTCCCAGGGTTGCTGCCACACGCTAGCATGATCCCTCAGGCATGACTGCAAGTGCAGGGAATACTCAGTGTGATTATCAAAAGCCATGAAATTTCCTTGCTTTGCTGACTGCTGAGCCAAGCTTTGGAATGCAAGCGAAATTTCAATCACAAATTTAAACAATCCTGAAAACACATGTCCCAAGAATGTGTCATGCATGCATAAGCAAAATGCTGGTGAGTATTAAAATTCCAAACTTTTTGTTCTGGCCCAAAATTGCTTAAAGATACTCTCCGACAAACAATTTTGGTTTTGGTGCAACTATAAGGCAACGTCATGCAAGCATGAAGTATAGCTGATTCCAAGTGGGCGAAGATTAGAGGGCTTGGTTGGGGGCTTGTTGGGCTTCGGGATAAAGCAGAGGTCAGTGTCCTTCAGCTGTGCAGAGAGGATCACTGCCGAGTCCAGCGAGCTGTGCTCAGCTTTGCGGGCTTGGTCGTTGCAGTACGTCGCCAGGCGCTCGCTGGCCGAGTCGGAACATAGCTTCCACGCGGCTGCCGACGCTGAGTTCTGAGGGACAGCCTTGTGTGGTCTGATGGAGCTGATGTGCTTCGAAAGCAGGGGGGCTGAGAGCGTTGGCAGGCTGCAGACTTCAAATCGTAGTCTGTCATGCCGTTGAAACACTGCTTTGGCATGGTTTTGCATGAGCTTGAGTTCCTCTTCTGCAGCCATCAAATAGCCATCATTGTTGACTAACTGCGTTTTGGGCTGCGGCTGCCAGGGGCGGAGCTTCTGCAATGTCTTATGAGCCTGATAGGAGTTACCACTTTGTGTAGATTGGTCTACCTCGTGAGTGATCTGCTAGGCGTTGTCTACGTGCTCTTGTGACAGCCTGCTTGTGCCACTTGGAGAGGTCCTGCACCAGTATCTCGTGATCTGCCAGGGAGAGCGTTGAGCTGGCTAAGTCCTCATCCAAGGCCGTCAACCTGGCCCACATGCGCTTGGTTGCCCTGTGCATCGCATTAAGGGGAGGGGAGGAAGGCTTAGGGGCTCTTGGGAAGTAGCGTTCAGACGCCTTGATTAGCACATCATTAACCTCCTCCATGTCAACCGTGGTGATCTGAGAGAGCTGGTCAGCAACCCACTTTTTCATTTCTTGTGCTTTGGGATGATTGTATCGCACTGCCTCCTCAAGAGCCTGTTTATCGTAGGGGAGTGGAGGGGGGGGGTGGGAAGTAAGCTGCCAGTGCCGTAGAGGGCGGATTTTTGCCTCCACAGGGTAATGTCCTCCTTTTTTCCACCGTCCCAGCGGGAAGTCTGTCAGGGGTTTGCTCTGCTTAGATTCTCCGCGAGCCAGTGATTTCGGGACTAGGATGTAATCGATTTGGGACTCTGAAGTGACAGTGTGGAACGTCAAGCCTGATCCCGAAGACCATGTATTGAGTGCAACTAAGCCATGTCCTTGCACTAGGCGCTGGAAGTATGCATCCTCAGCTGAGCGATGTGGCGGGGAGCCCGGAGTGCAGGTACCCACTACTCCCGCACTGGTGTTCAGCGTAGAGTTGAAATCTCCTAGGACCACTAACGTGTCACGCTGCGGAACACCCCTGACCGCTTTGGATAGAGAAGCAAGACACTTCGATCTATCCTCTCGGTTTTGCTGGGCTGTTTTGGAGGTGGTCCAAACGTGCTGATACACCGACACTATGTGCACGCGTGCGCCTTTCCATTGAAAGACCACTTCTAAGACCCTCCCCTTGTGATGCTCGCTCCATCTTATGGTAGCTTTGGGAATGTGCGGGGCCGTGAGTATCATGACTCCGTCTGCCCTCTTGTCATCGTGAACACGCTCTTCCTGCGGCTGTGTGCCTGGCTGTTCAGAGGAGCTGTAGTCTGACTTGGGTTTGCCTTTAGCTTTGGGGGCTTTGGCCTTGCCTTTGCTGGCTGAGCTTATGCAATGCCACCCTTCAACGTCAAACTCTGTGCTTTCCTGCCAGTGCGTCTCCTGCAGAGCAATCACATCATACTGATCTGATGCAGTGCGCAACCAGGTGCGAAGCTCGGCCCATTGCTGCTGCCCTAGGTGCCCAGCGTTCCAGGTCAATACCTTCAGTGGTTTGACCATGTTGCCTCCTCTGGGTCGGGGCGCTGTGCGCTTAGCGGGGGGCGTCGACTGTGTCGATCCCTCTGTCGCTATCGGCAAGTGAGGAGGGTGCAGTCCGCTTCTCGCCACGTATGCGGGCGTCAAGATCCCTTTCCTGTAAGAAACACTTTGCTGAGTGCGTGAAACTAAGGTACATGCTCTCCTGAATGCAACTTTACGAATGCTCCGAAAATTGTCTTGGTGCTTCGAAGGTACCGCCATCCGCTATCTTTTCCCCACCTGAAACAGTCTGCGTTTGCTTCTTGTGGGTACTCCTTCCACCTCGCGGAGCAGTGGAAACCCTCTCGCCTACCCCCTGAAAGACTGCAGTGACTGCGAAATCTGTGCACAGGAGGCCCGGGAATTGGGACCCGGCAGATCAGACGGCTCAAAGATCTCGGCTCACCATGGCTCACTGTAAGGCACAAGCTGTTACGTTCCCCTCAGGGCTGGTAGGACCTCTAGGACAGCAGTTGCGCCCAAAGCCCGGTTTACCAGGATGCAAGTGCCCGGCCGTCTGATCCGTGGCGGCTACGACTACTACTACTACTACTACTACTACTACTACTACTACTACTACTACTACTACTACTACTACTACTACTACTACTACTACTACTACTACTACTACTACTACTACTACTACTACTACTACTACTACTACTACTACTACTACTACTACTACTACTACTACTACTACTACTACTACTACTACTACTACTACTACTACTACTACTACTACTACTACTACTACTACTACTACTACTACTACTACTACTACTACTACTACTACTACTACTACTACTACTACTACTACTACTACTACTACTACTACTACTACTACTACTACTACTACTACTACTACTACTACTACTACTACTACTACTACTACTACTACTACTACTACTGCTACTACTACTACTACTACTACTACTACTACTACTACTACTACTACTACTACTACTACTACTACTACTACTACTACTACTACTACTACTACTACTACTACTACTACTACTACTACTACTACTACTGGAAGCGGCTGTGCTTGTGTGATAGAGACATGTCCCCTCGCTTCGTGCGTTGTGTGTAGGTTGCATTTTGCAGCAGCATCATTGTAGCATGTGATGCAATGACTTAGCAACTGCATGTCGTTTGTTGCTTTTGTAGTTCACGTCAACTCGACTGCAGCTGTGACACTTAAAGTCAGACTCCCAAGATGGAGCTCTCTTAATTCTTAGGTTGTAGCTTAAAGCAGTTGCTTGGCCAAGCTGTTTGGCCGTGCTTGTGAACGTACCACAGCTTGCAGCAGGTTTTGCAAGCTCTTAAGTGCGATTTAAACGGGATCGAGCACTCGCCGTTGCTCTTCGCCTTCTTGACGGTGTCACAACAGTGGCAACGCAAACAAGCGAAGCTTCTTCCGATTGCTTTACACACACGTTCTAGAAGAACTTAAGACGATCCAGGTATCACCATCCCCAAAGATGGGCAGGTTATCCTTTAAAACGTAAATACCAACTTCTCACTTTGCAGAAATTTAAACTATGCTTGGTCTCTACATCCTGCTTCCTTTGCATCTTCTGAAGAATGGCCAACACTGCGGTCTGGAAATTCAAGAAGAAGGCCATGTCAAGTGCTGTGCCCTCTAAACAGATCTTGCCTGCTTTCCCTTAAAGCCTTTTAGCCATTTTTAAAGCTTCTCTCCCTTCTTTCAAAAGTTTTCTTAAAGTTTCCTTAAGCCTTTTCTGGCCCAAGACCCAGTTGATCCTTCAAAAAACGCCAAACCTTACTAAGTCTTAAGAAGCCAGACAATGGCAGTTTTCTTCAGATTTGAAGCGCTCTACAGATTTGTCACCAAGTAGAGCTTCTTTTTTTTTTGACTGACGCCTCTTTACTACATCAGTAGCGCAGTAGGCCGGTCTTGTTGGGCTCGACATAACAGGTGAAACGAAGTCAGCGCGCTCAAACCACCAAACACACCACGCAACCACCCAAGAACCAAAGAAACAGAAGAAACAAAGCAAGCAAAGGCGCTGAACTACTAGGTAACCCCACGCACTCAGTACTCGAAGTCGTCGTTGAAGTCCCGGTGCAATCATACAGCACAGAGCATGCGGGGAATCGCAAATTGCGACACTGCCAGATTCTCAAAACCACCATCATGTAGCTACTGGTGCGACATCATTCGAATCGAACCGAGGTCATCACTCGATGGTCAGGATCACGTACCCATCGTCAAGGACAGATAACAGACCCGCAGTGGCAAAGGGATGTTACAGGCCAGACTCCCCAAAGGAGAGGAAAGACGTGCGTATGCCCCATGGTGGTCAGCCAGTGGGGACTTAACAGCAAGAACTATCAAGGCAAGACCGGCCCAGGGCACTCCATGGTGGTCAGCCAGTGGAGCCCCGAGCGAAGGGTCCTCCGCTCACCCTGGCTTGCAGCTGCGCCCACCTGGATAGATGTCCGCGCACAAGCAAAGTCTCATCAG